TCGACAGATTAACAACCAATGCCAGCACTGCTCGCTAGTTGCGAAGGATCGTGTTTGGACACCATGAGAAGAAGAGACAACGCTCAGGCGATGGCGCTAGACCAGTGATCGCCAAACGTATGAAGCTTGTGAACAGTAATACCGTTTTCAGCCCATCGAGCTACAAAATAAACCAAGGCAGAAAACCTTTTTTCAAATCCTCACATTTGTTTACTTGTATCAACTTACAGTTCTATTAAATATGAAACAAATTTTAATAAAACTGTATATAGGGAAAGTAACTTGAAATGGAATTGCATATTCAAACAAATTGCAATATAGTTACTAACAAATTATCAATAATTTTTCATTAGACTTTTTATTGAGAAGGATTGCACTCCTTTGTGTCAATAACAAGCGTATGTTGGGAGAGTAGGATGGCCGATATTCGAATATAGTTATCCAAATGTTCTTTAGAGAGTCTGTTTCTGAACTCGTTTGTGCTCTATACAACAAGTCCAGGTTAGCCACTCTTGAGCATGACCGCGATCTCACGAAAGTTTCCCCGCGCAGCCACTAGTAGCTCGCGATCAACGGTTTGGCGAGCACTGCGCTCGACCATCTTGCCCCCGAGGGCAAGACGCACGTTGTCGTCCCGCTCCTGGAAATGAGGGAATGGGAGGGGGAAGGGGCGGGAGGTGCGAGGGCGGCACGTGGAGCCGGTTCGCCAACCACCGCAGCCGCGATTTTCGCCCCTCGCCATATCGACACGGGCGCTGCAGCAGTTAACACCCCAATTCGCAGGGGCCTTCTCGCTACTCCCCGCCATCCCCCTTTCTTTCTCCTCCCTCCCTCTGTCCTTGTCTCTCCTGTCTCTGTCCTCTCTCGTCTCGCTCTCTCTGTCTCGTCTTCTCTGTCTCCTTGTCTCTCTCTCTGTCTGCTCTCCTGTCTCTCTCTCTGTCTCTCTCTCTTGTCTCTCTCTCTCCTGCTCTCTCTCTGCTCTCTCTGTCTTCGCTCTGTCTCTCCTCTCATGTCTCTCTCTGTTCTCTCATCTCGTCTCCTCTCTCTGTTCTCTCTCTCTCAGTCTCTCTCCCTCAAGTCTCTCTCTCTCTGTTCTCCTCTCTCAGTCCTCCTCTCTCTGTCTCTCTCTCAGCTCTCCTCTGTCTCTCTCTGTCTCTCTCGTCTTCTCTCTGTCTCTCTCTGTCTCTCTCTCTTGTCTTCTGCTGTCTCTCTCTCGTCTCCTCTTAGTCTCTCTCCTGGTCTCTTCTCTTCTCTCTCTGTCTGTCTCTCTGTCTCTCTCTCTGTCTCCTCTCTGTCTCTTCTCTCTGCTCTCTACTCTTTCTCTCTCTCTGTTCCTCTGTCTCTCTCTCTCTGTCTCTCTCTTTCTCGTCGACTCAACTCCAGGCAATTCAGGAGCAGTATCCTAACAACGGGCCAACGACGCGCACGAATTTTCCTTCTCCTCCTCCTCCCTCCTCCTTGCTCCTCACTTCCTTCCTTTCCGCTACGCTCTCCCCCTCCTATCTCCCTCTGCTGCTCTCTTTCCTCTCCTTTCCCTTCTCCTCCTCTTTTACGACTTGCTCTCGTCTCCCTGTCGCCCCTGTACCCCTTACTTCCTCCCTTTCCCTCTTCTCATCTTCGTCTATATCATCCTTCACAAAACACGCGCTTACATGCAATACACGTATCACTACATGTCAGAAAACCGTCCGGAACTTTGAAGTTTTCCCGGCTGGGGCTGTCTCTGCTGGTTAGGCACACCTGGTGGGAAAACCCTCTCGCCGACGAGGTCGGCGCTGGATCTTCATCATCCAGCGAGGAAGTTCACGGCTAACCTCCAGAGAAAGAAAATTGCACAACTTGTGAACCAATACCTTAAGTTATGCTGCTCACGCGACCGAGATACCACCAATCAAATCCCTTCCCTCCTTTTCTCTGTCCTCATTTCCCTTTCTCCCTTTTCTTTTCCTTTATTATTTCTCTACTCTTCCCCTCCTTTAATCTCGTTACTTCTCTTCCATCTCTCTCCCATCACTCCATTTATTTACCCCACTCTCTTTCTCGCTACGTCTCTCTCGTGAG